ACTAATCAGGTTGCGGGATAGGACTCATTAATGAATATGACTAGTGAATAAGTCATTAAGTTATTCTTGGGAGGAACAGATGTTATGTTAATTTTTTGCTTCGGGTACAAGAAAATCTTTTATAAATATGTGTTGTAATAAAATGAAATTGTGAAGTAAAGAGTAAAAGCATCAATGTAATTAAATGTCCGTAAGCTACCTGAATATTCCATAATATTTAACTTAATTTACTGTAACACGGATTTCCTTTTACCCAATGAATTAAATCGTCGTTTTCTAGATATTTAATTTTATTAAAGTGTAATTCATTTAGTTTCACTTTTGACATTGCCTAATACACACAACAAACAATCGGCTTAAATATTTTAGCGCTTTTTAAATGAAATTAAATGCCAGATTTCGCACGAAAAGCGCTTAATTTTTGATAATTCTAGAGGATTTACATAACAATACCTGCAGTTATAAAAAAAACAATTTTATAGGTGGAAACGGTTTTGAAAAACTATCGCGTGTTCGTTAAATATTCATACATAAAAAACCAAATATGGCCCTAAAAAAAAATAAATATCGCAATCATTGTAAATATTTGACTGGCATCGAACATTAATTGCTGTTTGTGCCTGCAATATTTAAAACTGTATATCAATTATTTATTAAACTTTAATCATTTAACAACGGATTGTTTGTTATTTTTAAGTTGGTTTAATGTGTTTTTTTAATTATTATCTATACTAAGATACTTTGAGTAAACTGTAACATTCGATTCTGTTAATATTTGCGTTAATTTCATCGGAGTATTTGTTGATTTTAATCGCTAGAATGGCCGGTTAATTGTTTTAGTTCCGCAACGGTAAATCAAGTAACACAAATAAAGTGGAGCCTAAAATCAATTAAAACTTTCGACTTTTCATTTAAATCCGGAGAGAAAATTCCCTCAGTTTTCTTTAATCCCTGAGGTCCGATCTAGCATCCAATTATCCGGCCCTTCTTCATTTGCATACGCATCTGTTATCAAAAACCGAAAGCCTTATTTCCCTGCGAAAACAAGCCGGATTTGTAACAACAAAACCCCTATAGAATGAAAATAATATAGTTTCAAAGCTATGCAATATTAACAACGTTATTATAAAGTAAAATAAAACCAAGATTAACTATACATCGTACATTTGTAGATGCGAATTGAATGGAATAAAAATAGTAAAAATAAAAATCTAGTTTACTCGATTCAATCTCCCGTTTTCGTGGATTTCCTTTCATGTAAAAATCTTGGACTTGGAAGCAAGTTAAATCCAAAAATAGGACATTATATATGTAAAATAATATATCTGTAAATTAAAGCAGTATTATATCTATACAAAGTTCAAAATACCTTTCGAGTAAAGTTAAATGTGGGTTGAAATATTCTATGAAACTTTCTGATAACGAAATATATCCGCTTTTGTTACAATGTCGAGAATTTTCCCAGGCGAAAGATTGACCGTTGATGTCGAAATATGCCTAATTAGGTTGGGATTAGGTTGGCTTTTCAATGAAGAAATTTAATAAAATACCTAATGAAATAGTTGTGTAAAATATTTCAGAATTAAATCGCGAAGAAACGAAGATTGTTTGAACCGTTCGTAAAAAATCTTATGTTAGCTTTCGGGAAATTGGAAGATGTTCAATTAAGTAAATTGAAAGCAATCCGTTTTGAAATGTCAGAATATTAAAAGGAAGAGGCAATTACGATCATCCATTTCCAAAAAAAAAAAAATACGAAATTCCCACATTCATCATTGTCTCGTTTTATCTTCATAAAAGAAAGATACAATTTGTTCTGTCAAAAAATATATTCGTTTTAGGTTCAATGTCAATTAATAATATTATTAATGCAAATAGAAAGAAAGTAAATTTGCTATGTATACATTTTAATGCACTTGTAAATTGTGCTTCAATCATAGCAACAATTAAAAATTAATATAATAAATGCAATATATTCATATAAGCAAGATTCTATCATGTCGGCTTTATTCAAGTTTCTCTCCTCATGAATACATGAATATGTGTAAGGTAACCACGCAAATCCTCAATATGAATGTAAATTTAAATAAATCGTGTGGTTTTACTAATAATATTATGAAGATTGGTTATTTAAAAGAGCAAAATGTGAGCAAATAGTTAAAGGGTATTAAAATATTACTCTTTCCTATAAATATGCAATTAGAAGTATAAGAAACGTTCGATGAAAATAATTTCTTTCTCTAAATCAATAAACTTATTAATATTTTTTGAATCAATTGTCATCAGGGTAAATAATAAATGAGCAATTTTTGGCATAAAATCAAGAGAGATGCCAAGTTATTATTTTCAGTTTTGCATTTTCCTATGAATATTAAACCCTATATTCGAAATGATCAATCTACTCGAAAATTTAAAACGTCGCACAGGCCGTTGTTTCAAAGTTCTTTATCATAAAAATTTAAATGAAAAGTGGCGAAAATTTCCATTTTCTTATAGTGGTTAAGATATGCAGCAATATTTTTAATATCATCAGAGAATTTACAATACTTAGCGCAAATGAATTCGATGTAGAGTGATTTTCTTGAGATGTACTATTCGTGTAATGAAGAAAATTAATTTTTATTTAACAAACCAAATCGTTCGCTTCAACAAAACTTCTCTAAAACCGCTTTAAAACTAACGAATTTCGTTTCGAAAACAATCCTAATATTGTTAGTTGGGGCTTATTCCGGTCGAGTACGCGAGATATTTTATTATACGAAAACATTTATCATTCAAAAATGTCACCTCTTGGTCGCGTTTCTACTAAAATTTCGATTTGCCAAACGATCCGGCCCCGAAAGAGTTTTGTTTTATTCCCATCCGGCTAAAAAATTGCCCGGCTTTATGTTATATGGTAAACATCATCATTTCGAACGAGGTCATTTTTCCGGTTTATCGGGACTCTATTCATATAGAGTATACAACCGAATTTTTCACTCTAAATTTAGGCAATTAAATTTCGAATAACCTTCCCCGACGTTTTAAAGGAGATGATCGCTTGCATGTTGACTTTCCGGAGTTCCTGCGAAGTCTAAACTATCAGATCGACTGATGGGTACATATTGACAATTCCGAAAAGTTGGGAGTTTTTTGTATACATTGTGCGAAAACTTGCTGTATAAAAGTTTGTCGTAAGTTCTTATTTGTTTTCTGCGAATCTGAAAAAATAAATTGGAATTGCTGTTTCAACGGTGATTGCTTAATATCTATTTTAGTCCACAAAATTTTCCGATCACAGCCAGATTTGCCCTTTCAATTTTTAAGAAGTGTCCTTTAATCTTCTATAAATTATGTAGCAGGAGAGCAAAAAAAAGGGGAAACCGGCCTTTTCACGACCAGCAGGTTTGTTTACGCGACATCTGAAGTTTTTTGTGGCCTGCCGGGGTTCACCTTAATTTATTTAATACATTATTACTCTCCGCTTTTGCCACGTTGCTGGGCCCCGTTTTAACAGCAAAAAACGCCCGAAATCGTTGGAAATTAATTTAAGTGACCGCTGGATTACGTCCGAAGATGTTTGCGATGGTAAATTCATCTTCAAAAATGTTGTAGAATCTCTTGTATTATCTACAGTGTAGTTACAAATTTTAAAATAGATCCATTTTTTATTCATGCTATAGCGTGATATAAATTTTATACAAACAATTTTATCGATTTATGTTACCAAAGCAGCGGAGTAGAATTTCATATTTCAGTAATTTAAACAAAAATGTATTTATATACACACAATATTGTTTGTTTTCATGTTAATATCGCTTTTGTCAATTATAAAACCTATCTTACATTTAAACAAAATTATTGATGCATTCATTCCCTAGGCTATATTTTTTTTAATTGAATAAATCTCTGTGATGTGTTTGAAAATAAACATATTAAAAACTAAAAGCACATATCAAATGAACGAGATTACAAAAATATTTATAAACTCTTCATAAATATAATTTTTTTGTTTCTTAGTCAATCTCGCTATCGATATTACATGAAACAGCGCCACATACTGGTTATGACTCGAATACAATCAAATTTTATGAACAATTTATTTTGCACTATTACCCATTTCGGATATCCTCGAGAACTCAACACCTTATCGGCGAAACAAAGCAGGATAGCAGGAAATTCTAAACCGCGTTAGAGTGTCGAGGAAAAAGAACAAAAATCATTTCCTTAATTTCCGGCGAAAGGCAATAACGCTCAAAGAGAAATTCCCGATATATTGAAACTGTTGCAGTGCAACATCTCACCTTCTATTGCATTACAACCGCCATATAATATGTATTGAATTATCTGCGGCTGGCGGAACGAGGCCATTATTGGCCCGAGAGCACTAAAGGAGCGGGAAAGATAAAAGCGAAAAAAGAAATATATTGCGAGCAACGAATCCCCATTCGAATAACAAAATTCATATCTTGTGATCGAATAAAAGATTACGATTCGATTTCTCGTAAAACTCTCGTTATAAGATGTTAACGCGAACGCTGCGGATATTGTTCCTTGTTATTTTGGGACTCACCTTTCCAACTCTATACTCTCGAAAACATTACTAGAAAACTTTTATTGGTTGCTTTTAAAATTCTCCATCTACATGTTTCTATAACTACTAGGTACTTATTTAATTGCGAAGGTCATCTAATATTCAATTATAATTGCTACATTTTACCATTTAATGTGTAGTTAGTATTCTTATAATGTCTATTATAAACAGCGTTTCAGATATAATCGATGATAACTCATGATTAATATAAATTAATATCATCTTCACAAACGAGAGCATATGTAATTTATTATCAGTTGTTAAATATCAATTTCGTTTTTATTAATTGCTCTCTCCTTGAAGTATAATCAATCAAAAATAAATATGCAAGTAGCTGATGAGAGAGTTACATAACAAAAAACGATATAATTGTTTTGCAAAGAGAAAAAAATATATTAATTGAATATTAAAGTAGAAAGAATATATTTTAAGGCATTAATAGGAACCATTAGGTAATATTTATTATTTCGTTGTATTTTATGACATCATAATTGGTAAATTATTTTTTGCAATTATTTTGATTGGTTTTTGTCAAAGGAGTGGTGGAAATATTCTGCTGTTTAAGTATATTTTCGGCTTTTTCGATTAAGCTCCTGGGCGGATTCTGATCCCTCGTTAAAATCCAAGCAGTGCCTGTAACAAAGCGAAATAAATACTTAATTTGGCATTTCAAAGACATTTCTTTAAGTTATCCTTAAGACTTAATCACTCTTAACTATCTATAATTGAAAAAAATTTAAAATTAAATGCTTTAATTAGTGCTTTTAAAATTCACTTACTTGCAGAAGCTACTAGAACGTCTTGACAGGACCAAACGACTGCATAACTCGTGTAATCTGTGCTAAGAACCCAGTAAGGAGAATGAACAGCAACTAAAATAAAGAAATTATAGAAAGAAAATCTTCAACATTATAAATAGCAAAAAAATGTAAATACTAACTTGGTACATTAAAAGTTACCACCAATTTAGCTTCACCAGTTGTAGAATTGAGTGTTGCGCTTCCTTCTATGCTCGATGGAAAACCAGCTCTATTAAAAAACAAGTATTTAGAAAGGAATAATAAGATTTTTGCAACTTTTCAGCGAAATTTCATTAAAACATTTTCTCCACTCTTGGCGGAAAGCTTAGAATAAACCCAGAGAGTTTCGATACAAAAGTTCGATGCCTAAATATTGCAATCCACTTACACGGTCATTTTATTAAAAACTTTAACAGTTCCATCGTCTTTTAGAGTGTATTCAGCTGTGATACATTCGCCTCCGAGTTCGAAAATAATGGGATATTTCTCTTGTTCATACCACTTTCCCAGATACTAAAAAAAATAATTCATAGGTCATCCAAATGATAATGAACTCACTGCCTATGCAAAATCCATTATTACGCTACCTGATTTCGAATATCTACTTATTTAAATTGAATTAGCAAATACCTATTCCGAATTTCATTAAAACTATTTCAGCATTCTTTCTAATCCAATTAAGGCGAATAAAATACAATCTATCGGAAAGAGAAGTATACCAACCGCGGAAACATTGAAGTTTTGAACTACATTAACTTTCGGACAGTCGTGTGTTAACGAAGGAATCTGCGCCGATGTGTTTTGTAAACTTATTATAGCAATCAACAAAATGTACACCAACATTATAAAAAACTAACTGATTGGTTATAGATCAAACGGTTTGAAAACTTTGTTGCACAGTGAAAATGTTTAACCTACGCATCAAGTTTATATACATTGCAGCCTTGAATTGACAAATAATTAAAACGATTATAACCGACAGTTAAAAAGGTTAAAGTACATACAATATACCGATGTTATCATTGCACTTAGTCATTCTATCAGTAAGCGTATATCGAGTGTTTATTTGCGACAATTAAAGCTCTAAAATATTTAACTTAGCCTATTAAAATGGCCATATAATTTTACATAATTTAAGGTAAAGTACAAATATTTCAATGGTCTTATTGCATGACAAAATTTGTAATATTTTTTTGATTGAATCCGTTCTATATACTAAAATAAATGTAGGTGTATTATTGATATAAGTGTATCATCGGTGTTAAATAGTAATTTCATTTTAGTTGTTTTGAAACAATTTTATAAACTAAATATTGACAATGCAATCGCTCATCTAACGTTATCATTATATTTCTAACAAAAATCTATTTCCTGTCTAGTCAATTTTATCGCTTTTAGACACCTAAACCTATCATTTTATTTTTCATTTATGTCAATATGTTTATCCAATTCATTATCTTCACCAAAAATTCCACTTTACAGGCCATCGTAGTAAAATTTCTGAGATAATAGGAAAGAAAGTAAAGGTAGAGGTAACACGAAAACAAAATATTCTCAATACGGTTATCTGGGGACAAATTGTACTTCGGGATTCTCTTAAGAAATCTTCCTTTAATAATGCAACGAGTTCTTTCGCCATTTTTAAACAGACCAAAATCGTAAAACTTTACTGTTTTCTCTCCCTTATGAAAAGGAATCACCCAAGAACAAAAAGTAAACATTGCAAATATTATCAACAGTTAATGATTTAATACATAATTTAAATTTGCCACGACTTGATTCGCAAGCAAAATTTATTTTTCTCTTTTGTGCTGTTTGAAATAATCTCGCTTCGACGTTTTATTAGGCCCTAAACCAGGTAGAGTTATTAAAAAATAATGAATGGGACCACCAAAAGCATTACCCAACCTAATCGCTACTTTCATCCATCAGTTGCAAAAGTGATTGAAGATTATAATGTTGAATTTCCCACATTTTGACGGATGTTTCATTTTGATACACTAATCCTCTTAACAAATATGCGTAACAGAAATTACAGAGGTATGTAAAATTTCGTTTCGTAAATGCTGATTCGTATTTTAAATTTATAAATTCAGTACTAGTAATATTAATCATCTACTTTGAATCGAATTTCAATAAATTTCATACTACTCGAACATGCATTTCGATTGTATACAGAACATCTCGAGTTAATTTCCTTGTTCTGGCTGTTGAATTTAACTATTAAAGGAAAACTGAGTGAGTCAAAGAAAATTCGTTACGAACGAAGTAGCATTCCTGCAAAGACATAGGTTTTAATTTGTTTTTCAATAGAACTTATTTAATTTATTCGGATGTCATTCTTTAAGAGAAGTTCAGTGAGTTAGTTCAACGAAATCGGATCCGGTTTCGCATTTCTCGAATTTTCAATTTCGTTCGGTTTTTTATTACGAAAGAGAAGTAAAAAAATAACTACTTTACTTACTCTTAAAGTGTATTAATTTAAAGATAAAATAGGGACAGTCGAAGCTGCAAAATTGTTTTTTTTTTGCAAATTAATTTCTTTCTAAAATCATCGACTAATGAAGATTTTACAACGTCTAATTAACAAATATGCTCCTAGAGGGCGACATTCGTTTCCGGTAAATTTGACAGGATTTGCGCATTTGTAACTTTTCAACTATCAAAATCATTCCCCCAAGTTTTACAGATTCGCAGGAAGAATGTTGGAAAGTTTTCCGGAGCACCCTTTCGGTAAAGTGCGCTATCAAAACTTTTAACATCAGTTTCTGTTTTTCGCTCGTCTTAATTTCAACAGGAATTATCAGAATTAAGAACAAAAAAAAACGGATTTCGCTAAATATAAATACACTCTAATTAAGCATGAAACAGAAGAGGAAGTTCGTTATTGGAATTAATCGAGTTCGCGTGTGGAATAATTTTCAGTTTGTAGAGGCAATAAATATAAAATAACTGAGCAACGTGGATGTTTTCACGATTGAAAATCGATTTAATAATCTGCAATTTGGGGCGAAAATTCGATTGAATTCGGAGGTACCATAAACATTCAAAAATAGTTCTTTCATCGATTGATTTATACACAAGATATGGAAATTTTCTCGTTCGTGTAAACTTTTTTTTCTTGTATCATCAGCTCTGTACTTATTTAATAAAATAACTGGTCGTAATAGGATAGTTTTAGCGATTTGAATGTAACATAAATTCGTTTTGAAATTAAAATTCGTACAAATGTATAAATTATACAAAAATTTGAATGTTCAATAGTTGCAACCATATTCGCATCACGTAGGAATGTCCATTAAAAATCGTCGGAAATTATAATAGAACGCTGCATTTTATATAAAATTAATAGCGTTAAATGAAAGATTAATTGCAAATGTCAAAAATATTCCCAAAATTCCAATCTAAATTTAACTAATAACATATCATTCCCATTCTCAAATAAGTGTTGATTTCTCCACGTTTCACATTTCACTAAACATCGTTTTTTTTCTGCTTAAATCTGTATAAACTCAATTATTACATCAGAACGAGCGTTGGTAAATTCGAAATTCACCCGGGCTGATTTTCGTTCGCAGAATACACCCAATTATTTTTCTTTGTATTATAAAGTATAAAAAAAAGGCCACGACACATCCGCCAAACGAATCATTTTACCATTCGGTTAAATGAATTTATTCTAACCCAATAAATACCGCCCAAAATTTACACTAGAATTAATAATCGAGGCAAAAGTCGGTGTGTGTACACTTTGGGTTTCTCTCGTTTTAATTAATGGTGTTCTGCGGAGCAACGGATTTAACAAGAAATAATTTAGAGACCGAAATTCGAAATGTATAGACGGAATGACAGAATGTGTGGAAACGTTTTTTGCCCAATTTCCGAGCTCGTTAGAGCCCATTCATAATTTGCGATTTATCCTGCATAAATGTTAAATGCTTCGTATAAAATTCGTAGCAAAATAAACTCTGTTAAGTGTTTTTGAGTTAAATAATTCCGTAGATTAGATATCAAAAATATTTGAAATCTGACCATATTGTTAAGAGCCACTTGTCGAATATCAATTCGAAATTGCAATAATTTTATTATATAAAAATATCACTAAGTATGACATTTTTTTTTGTTAAACGAGAGATTAATTGCGACGGAAACAACGCCGGGAGCGTCCGAAAATTTAATTAACAATTTCTTTTGAAAAACCTTGCAAAATTTTAATGGTTTTGGCAAAATCCCCGTCCCGCTTAAATAATTAGGAGTCTGTATTTTTTTCCTCTAAGAAAGAAGAATCGTTAAAAGTTTCAGGGATTTCAAAGGAACACGGGACAAAAGTAATGGTGCCAATAAACACACCAAAAAATAATTGGAGAAGTTCGGCTTGTGGCATTATTTATACCTAAGCAACTTATAATTTATATCTAATAATTTTACTGTAGGTAAAATCTCAATTTTTTTTGTTAATCTAATAAATTGGAATTACGACACTTTCCATTTCCCGTATGAATGAAAAAATTCGTCCGCGAATGAAAAATTGAAAGCAATTTAAACGGAGCTTATCAGTTAGTCAATTTATCAGCAAATTTAACTTTTTCTGAGCTCCTCCTGATGAAGCTGAAACAATTAATCAAGGAACAAAACATTTTCCCCTTTTTTTTCTCCATTTCTCGCTTATTCCGTCCGCTGGAATATTCCGCAGACCGTGGACATAAGCGTTATATATAATCAAAAGCTTTTCTTTGTTAATGGAAAAGTTTAATTTTTGGCTAATTCGCAAAGCCAGATTTGTCGCGAATATTATTCATGGAAAGTTGGTGATTTTACCTAGCTCTGTTTATTTTAAATTAAACGTTTTCTTTATAAATTTGTTAGATATAAAATTTAATTAATCAATAAGGATTAATATTTCACAATAATCTATTGTAAAATAAATCGTAGAATATTACATAAATCTCTTCTTTCTTCTACAAATATCTTCGCGTGATATGTTTACCTATTGATTCAAGTATTCCATTCTTCAAAATAAGAATCATAGAGGATTAGACAAGAAACGATATTGTGCGTTGTTCTCACGCTAGAATGAAATAAAAATAAATATTCGATGGGAATCCGTTCGCAGGAAAAAAATCCAATTATCCATCGCAGATAAAAAAAGGTGATACTGATAAAATAAATTTTGTACTGTTAATAATTTATTTCGTTTCCGCAGTTCTAACAACAAATTGGTCTACATTGATTGGGCCTCTAACTTTCTAAAAATACCGATAGATGTTCCAATGATGCCTAGTTTAAAAGCTATTGATGTTACTTTGGGTCTCGATAGTATATCATTGAAAAAGTATTAAAAGTTCATAAAACTAAAATTCCCAGTTGGGTTCTCTCTGTGTGCAAACCTAATAGACTTTATATCACGTACACATTCAGCAGAAAAGATAGAATATGGTAGTGTAAGAAACGAAAAAAAAAATTAGAATTCGACTGAGGTCAAGTAAATTGGACCAGGACGCTTGGAAGCTATTTTAGTAGTGAAAAGGGTCTACGAAAACTGATAAAAAATGATTCGGCGTTTTTTTTTAAATACTGATAACAATGTAAGTTCTTAACTCTACTTACATAAGTAGGATAAATTAGTTTAATTGTTTACTTTACCTATCAGATAGTCGATATATTGAAAAGTTTTTATGGATATGGACAAACAAATATCAATTAAAGTAATTAACCAGTGACGATAGGTGTGTAATTACTTTTTTAAAATATCAAAAGTTTTGAACTCGGAGGTTATATTTTCAAATAAATCTCTGCCAAACTTAACTTAGCAAAATTTCCATTACATGAAGTGCGATAAAGACAAGCACCTAATCTGATATCGTAACGAAAAAAACGAATTAAAATTTTTATATTTTAAAAACGCCGGCCCTCGAAACTTCCTTAATATGCTCCAATAAAAGTCTGAACCATTTCTTTCTGTTTGCCCACCACTTCTACTAAAGTGGTCCGAGGCGGAAAAGCAGTTCATAATAAAAAGTGTTGACTGAGCTAAACTAGGAAAGCTAGCGTCCTTGTTAACGACTCACTTTGAAAATAAATGCCTTTTTAAGAGCAGAAAAAGTAAAAGTACGGCCCTAATACGGCTTCTTTCGAACT